TTCCTCCTCTCTGATCTTTTCATAGTAGGAGTAATAGAGGAAGAGCGACCATCACCGACAGTCGATGAGAGTTGTTTTTGGAGGAAGAAAATCGACTTTTTGTTCACAAACCAAATAATATTTTGTTTCAAAAAAAGTTCCTATTTCCAAAATTTGTTCAAAAATACAAAAATGTTCACACGTTTAAATTTTGTTCACAAATTGGGAAAAACTGAGAATTGTCTAATAATGTTTCTGTTTTAAATTTTCTACACAAATTTAGCAAATATTTTCCTTTTCAAAAAATTCAAATATTTAGAAAATATTCATGTTTCAAAATTTCTTCACAAATTCAAAAAATGTTTGCATGTTTAGTACTTTTTCTCAAATTCAAAAGCGTTTGGAATTTCAAAGTATGTTCCTCTTTCCCAAATTTGTTCTCATATTCAAAAAGATTCTACAGTTTTCAAAATTTGTTCACAAATTCAAAAAATGTTCATGTTTTCTAAATTAATTCGCAAATTCAAAAAATGCTTGAGTTTTGTAAAGTAGTTTTCAATTTTTAAAAACGTTCACTTTTTCAAAAAAATCACTTATGTTTACAAAAAATAGTTCATAATTTAGAATAAATTTCTTATATTCTTTTTTATTACTATTTGATCTCTAATCTTTTTCCCAAATATTTTTGTTCCTATTTTGTCTCTAATCACATTCGAATTTTGAAATAATAATTAATCGGCAGCCTATTTATAGTTCGCTGCCTTTTCAGACACATAACCTCAGTTACTGCACTGGTTATTGACGCTCTCCTAGTGGGAGGTCCTGTGTTCGATCCTTTGGCAACATGTTTTGTGGAAGCGACCTGGTTCACTTTTTGCCGCTGCGGGTAGTTTCTTTTACATATGTCATGATAAGTCTTTTTTTTTTTGAGAAATCACAATAAGTCTTGTGTTGTAGTGGCTAGCCCATCACATTCTCTGTATTGAATGTTTGCGAATTCAGAAAACATTCATGAATTTCAAAAAATAATTCTAGATCCATAAAAATGTTCATGATTTCAAAAACTATTTAGTAATTTCGGAAATTGCACGCGAATTCACAAAAATGTTCATGAATTTAAATAAATTTCATGAATTTCAATACATGTTTGCGAATGGAAAAAATTTGAAAAAATGTTGATGAATTTCCAAAAAAAAGGGTTCACAAAGCCCAAGGAGGCTAATGAATTTTTAAAAAATGTTTATAACCTTAAAAAATGTCCACTTCTTTATAATAAATGTTTGCGAGTTAGAAACAAAGTGTTCATAAATTTAAAAATTCTTTTAGAATTCAATAGAAATTCAATAAATAAAAATAATATTAGAAAATTTGGAAACTGTTCACATCTTTAGAAAAATTGATGAATTCAAAAATTGTTGTGATTTAATTTAATTTTCATTTTTTGAAAAAATTGCGATGTGAAAAGAAAGGAAGAAATAGAAACCAAAATAGAAAACAATGATAGAAGACAGATAGAAGAAAACTGAAACAAACTAATAGGCTGGCCCATCCTTGTGGGCGGGGTGCACTTTCGGCCTCGCAGGAACATGGTCCACCTGCACATGCTACACACACCATAGGAATATATATAATTGGAAACTTGCGGGCTTGATTTCGAGAAGACACCATAAATATATTATATAGTCTGAGAGGTGTCTCACGACTCGCGAGAGCAATTTCTCAAAAAAAAAATGACTCGCGAGAGCTATATCACGCTTATAGTAGAATGGAACGAGCTCTCGCGTCAGCCGTTTCGCCTGCGTGCTGACCTATTATCCAAGTTGTTCGCTCAGTATAGTTTGCTCGATGTATGTTCGCTCCTGCTCTGGTTTGTTTTCCATTTTATTTTGTCTTTTTTTGATTCTTTTTATTTATTACCGGTTTTCTTTGGATATTCTATATTCTTCAATGTAACTTTGCTTTTCTTTGTTTTTTTCGGTTTTCACTAGTTATTTTTTTTCTTTATTCGGTTTCTTTGTTTTTTCCTTGGTTTTCACTAGTTTTTTTATTTTCTTTATTGGTTCTTGATTTTTCTTCAGGTTTCTTTGTTCCTTTCTTCCATTTTCATCGTTTTTTCTTTTTTCTTTATTTCTCTTTTTTCACTAATTTTCTTTAGATTCTTTCTTTTCTAAGTGTTTTCTTTATTGTTTCATGGTTTTAAATATTTTTTCTTTTCTTTGCCATTTCCTTATTCCTTTTCTTTGGTTTTGGTTTTTTCTTGGTCCCCATCGGACTCTTCTGTTTCATTATCAGCTTTCATTGTTACCATTCTTTTTGCACTTGTTCTTCCGTTTTCTCTTTTCTTTAGTTTCTTTTGTTTATTTTTCAATTTTTAGTGTATTGTTAGTTTTTTTTCCCATTGGTTTTCATTCTACATATTTTTTATTAGTCAAGACAATTTTTCTAGTGCAAGTTCAACATTTTTTAATACATGTTTAACATTTTTTTTCATACTAATTTTTTAAAAAATCAAATGCCTGATTAATATTTTTGAAATATGGGAGTAGCATTTTTAATATGTGGTCAACAAATATTCTGTACACATTTTAATGTTCTCAAATGCTTGATTAACATTTGTAGAATACAAGATTAACATTTTTAATACATGGATAACATTTTTTCTATATACATTTAACATATTTCAAATTCTTTATTAACATTTTCAAATACTTGTTTAACATATTTTAGATACTTGATTACCATTTCTAGATACAAGATCAACTCTTTTCACACGCATTGTATATTTTTCTTATACATAAGAAACATTTTGTTATACGTATATAACATTTTTCAAATGTTTGATCAACATTTTTTAATACAAGGTCATCATTTTTTCTATATAAATAACATTTTCACATGTTTGATGAACATTTTCAAATACGTGATTAACATTTTTCTAATACATTGTCAACATTTTTTATTAAAATTTTATTATTCTCAAATGCTTGATTAGACATTTTCAAATACAAGTTTGACATCTTTTTTAATACATGGTCAACTTTTTGCATATACATATTTAACATTTTTCATGTACTTGTTTATTATTTTTCAAATGCATGATTAAAAAATTTTAAATACATGTTCAACTTTTTTTACATACATTGTACTTTTTAAATATATTTTTCATATACGTGATAAATATTCTCTTTATAAACTTAACAATTATCAAATACTTGGTTAGTAAATAAACTTACATAATACAATTATTTAGAATATTTTTTGTTGGTATTTATTTAGTATATTTGGAAGTATAAACAAAAGTAAAAAATGAAACAAAAAAAACATGAAGAAAAAAAGAGACTGTGGCCTCCCACGCGACTAGCCCAGGCCCATTTAGGGAGGCATCTGACGCAAGAGCACACTAGGTCTCGTTGTAAATGAGATATAGAGCTGCCCTCATGACTCTGCGAAAATCTATTTTTTAGCTACGATCGTCATATGGACGATTGATTATAAGGAAATGTTATAGAAACTGGTGTCAGAATTTTAATATTTTCTACCCCTCTGTTCCTAATATTTGTCTTTCTAGAGATTTCAACAAGTGACTACATACGAAGCAAAATGAGTGAATCTACACTCTAAAATATGTCTATATACATCCATATGTGGTAGTCCATTTAAAATCTCTAAAAAGACGAATTTTTAGGAACGGAGGGAGTAGCAAACGTCCAAAATTTTCATGTGAAAACAAATAAAATTGTCATGTGCTGTTACAAGGTATTTGCTATAACGGTCACCATGAGTTATATACTATTTTGTTACGAAGATCATGACAACTCATGCAAGACTTTTTTAAATAGCTGGCACTACACGAGTTGAGCATAACTTAGATGATTAGATTCTTTGTGATAGACCAGCCTAGGGTTCAAGTCCTATACTTGGCACTGGCGAGCGCATTTTACTAAATTTATTTCAGAGATTTCGGTGATGCCCATTTAGTGGGAGGAGACGTTTTGGTCCAACTATGAAAAACGTCTGTGGTGGCTTCGTCAAGTTCAAGGTGATGCGTCGATTGAGTCTTTCAAAGATGCTCGTGAAGATTGCGTGTGTGCGTTGAAAGAATAAAATGTACTCCCTTTGTTCGAAAATACTTGTAGAAAAATGCATAGAAATGAATGTATCTAGAACTAAAATATATCTAGATATATCCATTCCTCCGACGAGTATTTTCGCACGAAGGGAGTAAGTGGATCGCATAGGGCTCTGCAGCAAGTCGCCGGTAATCCTCGCGTCGCGCGTGGGCTCTGCAGCAAGTCGCCGGTAGTACGTCGGCGGTGGCTGCGCTGTCGTCGTCGTGGTCGAGCCGAACGAACGAACGCCGACGCGTAGCTCCTCCGCCCCGCAGCGGACGGTTGGTGGCGGTTGACCCTACGGCCTACTGGCACCGCACCCCTCCCCCACATGGCCACACCATGGATGACATCACCGTCCCGTCATCGAACTCCAAGTGGGCCCCGCCGATCCACGTGAGCCGTATTTTCCAATCCTTTTTACTCTCTCTCTACGCATCTGACTTTCCTCGCAAGCCTTGCCCACCCCCCCGCACAGCACCCACTGACACGCGGGCCCCTCACCCTAAGTCAACGGCCTGACAGGAAGGATCCTTCCCACCGCGATGTATATCCAAGTAAATCCGTTCCGTAATCCAAAAAGGAATACCCAGATCCACTTCCCTCCGGACGCCCCCATCCCGGCCGCCCACGTGTCCCGGAGAACGGATCGCGGCCGTCGAGGCCACGATAGGTGGATCATAAATGCCGCGGGGCCGAGGCAAGCGGGGGGGACGACGACGGAAGAAGGGGCGGTTAAAAAGTCGTATAGCGGTTAAAACGGCCGGCCAGTGGCTGCCCTCCCCCCTCCCTCCCTCTCTTTCTCCCCCCCCTCCGCCCGCGCCCGGGGAACCAGCGATCCCTCCTCCCCCTTCACAAGCCAGCCCCCGGATCCAGAGCGGAGCCGACCGATCCAGTAGTCCAGGCGCGAGGATGGGGAAGGCGGCGGCGGTGGGGACGGCGGTGGTGGTGTGCGCGGCGGTGGGCACGGCGGTCGTGCTCGGCCGGCGCCGGCGCCGCAGGGACGCGGAGCTGCTCGGCGCCGCCGAGGCCGAGCGCAAGAAGAAGGTGGCGGCCGTCATCGAGGACGTCGAGCGCACGCTCGCCACGCCCACCGCCCTGCTGCGGGGCATCTCCGACGCGCTCGTCCTCGAGATGGAGCGCGGACTGCGCGGGGACATGCACTCCCAGCTCAAGATGCTCATCAGCTACGTCGACAACCTCCCCACCGGGTAAGGGAAACCACCCCCATTCCGGATCTGACCCGATCCCGTCCCATCCTTAGCCTTAACTTGTCGGGTTGACCTGTGGGCCTCGTGATCCGTCTGCTGCTGGGAAAGTGGCCTGCGGATATATTGCGCTTTCCTTGGTCGCGTACGCCACGGGAATTCTCCAATCCTACTCTTGATTAGGCATATGAGTGGCCGTACGGTGAAATGTGCGGATCTTAGTCTGAATTTCTGTGCCAAGATCGCGCCTTGTGGCGATTCAGCCCGAAATCAGGAACACCGTCGCCTCTTAGGTGACCTCCACTGATTCTCGATGAATCATCATGAGCAAGGATGTGATCCTTTTATTATCTCATAATATATGAACTGACCGATCTCGCTCTGGCGCATCCCCTGTTTGCTGATCGTATGGTCGTCCGAATTTTGGTGATTTAGGATTTATTTATTTTCGATCAATCAGCATGCCACCACATGAGATTTCCATGAGTTGGTGTGGATGTTCATTTCTCAATAGGCCATCAGTGGGATGTACTAACCGATTATGGCAGGGATGGTTCACTCAGGATTACTCCCATATGCCCAATTATGTGAAATCTGTACAGAAGTTCTTATGTAATTGGTTTGTTTCACCAATTTCTTTGTTCAATTATATCCACCAGTAGAACTCATCCTCTCCAAGTATAATCTGTTATGTGCTTTGTTTCTCAAAGACAAATTGTAATCTGTATATCTATTACATGCAATTCTCTGAAAAACAGGACATTTTTCCTAGACTTGTATAACTTTATTGTTTAATCATTTGGGTGCTATTTCTGCAGGGACGAACATGGCTTGTTTTATGCATTGGATCTTGGAGGTACCAACTTCCGTGTTCTGCGAGTCCAGCTTGGAGGAAGGGAGAAACGTGTTGCCAAGCAACAGTATCAGGAAGTCTCTATTCCACCACACCTGATGGTTGGAACTTCCTTGGTGAGTACCTGGTATTCGGTTTTCAAGCTCCCTGGAGTCACAAATCTACATGCATGTTTACTAATTTAATTTGAATTATTATTACAGGAACTATTTGATTTCATTGCTGCTGTATTGGCCAAATTTGTTGAAACTGAAGGTGACGAGTTCCACCTCCCAATGGGGAGGCAGAGAGAGCTGGGTTTCACCTTTTCCTTTCCGGTAAACCAATTATCGATATCATCAGGAACACTCATCAAGTGGACAAAGGGCTTTTCAATCAACGGCACGGTAAAATTCAAAACATTACACAGCATTTGTTGAGCAGTTCCTAGCACATTACGTAGCATAAGTCCCACTGGATTTTCTTATAAATCCATGGATTACCTTGGCAAGTTTCTGGTGGTAAAGCTTGATTTGATATGTCAATCAGAACTTAAGTGTTGAAGTTTAATTGTGGTTACTGGTTAGGAAGCATATTCTTGATATGCAGTACAAATAGTATGTTTTGCGGTTTATATGGTATCTGAGCCAATTGTCGATCTTTCTATAATAACCATAATTCCTTGATTTTGACGTGTTCTTTTTGTTACTCCTTAATCAGGTTGGTGAGGATGTTGTGGCTGAGTTGAGCAAGGCCATGGAGAGGCAGGGGCTGGATATGAAAGTTACAGCACTGGTAATACACCATATCTATGGTTGACTCTCGTATATAAGACAATGCTAATTTCTGTGTTTTCTGACGCTACTTCTATTATTTGTTGATCTTTTCTCTATTAATGGAGTGCGAACAAACATGGTCGTGTGTCCAAAACATATGTTCTCAGGCTGAGTGTTGATGTTTTGTAGGTTAATGACACAGTCGGCACATTGGCTGGTGGGAGATATATGGATAATGATGTGGTTGCTGCTGTAATATTGGGCACTGGTACAAACGCAGCATATGTTGAGCATGCTAATGCAATTCCTAAGTGGACTGGACTACTGCCAAAATCCGGAAATATGGTTAGTGTTTGAAATTCCTTATGCTTGAAGTAAAAAAGCCCCATGAAACATTGTACGTTCACTGCTGTGTTGTATTAGTCTCTCTTAAAATTTGTATTTTTAACCACATAATTATTTCGTATTCTCTAGGTAATCAACACGGAATGGGGAAGCTTTAAATCGGACAAGCTTCCACTTTCAGAATACGACAAAGCATTGGACTTTGAAAGTTTGAACCCTGGAGAACAGGTGTTTATCTTGGTGTTTTCAATTCCATTCACGTTTTTGTGCTGAACCGTACTAATATATTTTGTATGATAGATCTATGAAAAGTTGATTTCCGGCATGTATCTTGGAGAGATTGTGCGAAGAATCTTACTGAAACTGGCTCATGATGCTGCATTGTTTGGGGATGTTGTTCCAGCTAAGCTGGAACTGCCATTCGTACTTAGGTAATACTTGATCCATTGGTCACTGAGCTTTTCATGCTTGCTTCTTGACATGGGAAAAACTGTTATTTATTTTGTTAGCTAAACACATATCAAGAATTTTTTATAATAATAAAAAGATAAGTGCCAATAATAGTCAAACTGCACAAGGAAGCTTCTAAATATTGTTACATGTGTTGACTAGTCCATGTAAGGCCCACAGTTTACAAAATTTGGGAAGTTGCGTGCCTCTTGAAGCTATACATTTACTTCATTCGAGTAATCCATGTGAGGTGACAAATATTCGAAACTTAGTGCTGATTGATCATTGCCGGTGATAAAATACTTTTCTTCTGGTCAATGCTCCGTTTTGTCACGGCTTTGTTCAATTCAAAGCTTTGTATTCTTTTTCTCTGTCGTATTAGAATATTAAGATGGATGGCCTGTGCAATTGTCTAGTTAGATAGAGTTTGTTTCGTGCACACCTTAATATTATAAGAGAATTCGAAACCAAAGCCAAACTTATGTTTGTTTTGTTCTTTGTTTTTGTCAAACCTATCATAAAGTCTGAGTAGTGGCCTAATGATTAATTTTCACCTTCTCCTTGTTAGAATAAATAAAGTATTTACTTGGGGGCAAATAGATTATATAAGTCATTAATAGATGGATGCACTGAGTAGCATACCATTCTTGATACCTGATGAAGCTTCCATTGGCATTAACACCACTAATCGCTAATCGGTGATAATTCCTGACGAATATTTACCCATTTACGATAAAGAGTATCTATTTGTTGAAACTTTTTTGCTGTATTCTTATTCTAAATCTTATGTTGCAGGACCCCAGATATGTCCGCCATGCACCACGATGCATCACATGACCTTAAAATTCTGGGAAGCAAGCTAAAGGATATCGTTGGGGTACGACTGTTTGAACCTAAGTGGATACAAAAGTTGTTCAGTGACCATTGATTAACATGTTGATCTCATGTTTAGGTTGCGGATACTTCCCTGGAAGTAAGATACATTACTCGTCACATATGTGACATCGTTGCAGAGCGCGGCGCACGCTTGGCCGCTGCTGGCATATATGGCATCCTGAAGAAGCTAGGCCGGGACAAGGTGCCAACCGACGGCAGCCCGATGCAAAGGACCGTGGTTGCATTGGACGGTGGTCTCTATGAGCACTACAAGAAGTTCAGCAGCTGCTTAGAGGCAACTCTTTCAGATCTCCTCGGGGACGAAGCCTCTTCTTCGCTGGTTGCCAAGCTGGCCAATGACGGCTCTGGCATTGGAGCTGCTCTCCTCGCCGCTTCGCACTCCCAGTACGCTGATATCTACTAGTCTTCTTGGTAACGAGCCCGATGGATGGATTGAACCCAGAGTGTAGCAGCCTCTTCTCTTCCTTTTTTTTTCTTTCTTTTCCCTTCGAACCTTCCTAATCGCCTGGTGGTGGAATTTTACCTTCTTCGGCTATTCTGCGGACACTCTCCGGTGCGTCTGCAGCGGGATGTAGCTAGCATAGCGCCAAAGAGCTTGGAGGTTTATCTAATGGCATAAAAGTTTGAGTGGCAGCAACATATGGAGATGGAGGTTTGGACAATGCCATTCCTGTTCTGCCGATTCTTTTTCCCCTTGTCTGGTGGTGTTTGTAATCCATAACATTTTGTTAATCCTTATTTTTGTATTTTCTCCTTCAATAAAGATGGGGATCGACATCATCCAATTTAACCATCTTTTTATGTTGCCTGGTTTCTCCAGTATATACATTTATGTATGTCTGAATGCTCATCTCTGTCTTCAGAATAATACTAGTTTTGTCTGAATTTGATCCACTTCAAGCAACTGCTCATCTGAAGGCTGTCACACTGTGTACAACATTCCACCATTGTTATCTGCTCTGCTCTGAAACTGCACTGTCTTACTACTTAGTTACTACTGAACCTTACAACTATATTCTGACGTCACTACGACATTTCGTCAGACGACGACGTCGAAGCTACCCTTGCCGTCAGCGGCGTCGGATAGCCGTTTCCGGCGACTGCCCCCTCGCACTGCTGGCAGCAGCGGGGCGGCGTCGTACTCGGAGACGCCCGTCTTCTCGTCGAGGTTTTTCCGGTGAGCCTGCTCGCACCGCAGCAGTATCTGCAGCACGTCCTTCATGGTTGGCCGCGTCGACGGCTGGGCGCCGGTGCAGATGATGCCGAGCTTGAACACGACCTCGAAGTCGTCACTTTGCCTGGCGTCGCCGATGCACTCGTCCGCCGCGTCGGCGATGCTCTTCCCCGACTGCAGGTGCCGCCACGCCCACTCCGCCAGCGAGCAGTGCTCGCCGCCGTTGCCGGCCTCCCTGCCGGTGGCCAGCTCCAGCAGCACCACCCCGAAGCTGTACACGTCCACCTTCTCGTTCGCCTTCCTCGTGTACGCGCACTCTGCATAACATGGCGAAAAAGATAAGCCACTGCGCCGCAAAGAAATTTTAGCGTTGAGGATTACTATCAAGGTGATCGGTGATCGGTGCGTACCGGGAGCCATGTAGCCGAAGGTTCCGGCGACGGCGGACATGGTGTCGTGCGGCGTCGTGCCGGCGGCTTCGACGAGCATCCTGGCGAGCCCGAAGTCGGCGACCTTGGCGTTGAGCTCCGCGTCGAGCAGGATGTTGCTGCACTTGACGTCCCGGTGCACCACCGGCGGGGAGCACTCGTGGTGCATGTAGCTCAGCCCCCGCGCCGCGCCCACGGCCACCCTCACCCTCGCCGGCCAGTTCAGCGGCGCTCGCCTGACCGAGGGGGCCCTCGCCGGCATCGAGCTCCCAGCCGGTGCCGGCCACCTGTGGCCGTGGAGCCACTTGTCCAGGCTCCCGTTGCCCATGTACTCGTAGACGAGGAGCTTGGTCTCCGCGCGGGAGAGGCAGCACAGGAGCTTGACGATGTTGGTGTGCCGGACGTGGCCGAGCACGTCCACCTCCGACTCGAACTCCCGCTCCAGCTTCCTCTCCACCTTCCCGCCGGTCCAGATCCGCTTCACGGCCACCACCGTGCCGCCGCTCGCGCCGCTCCGGCTGGGGCACTCCACGCGGTACACCCGCCCCGCCCCGCCCTTGCCGATGAGGTTCTCGTCGGCGAGCCCGTGCAGCACGGGGCCCTCGCCGAAGTCCAGCGGCTGGAAAGGGGTGAGCTTCCAGGCCTCCTCGGGCGGCGCGAGCCCCTTCCGCCTCTTGATGTCGCGGACGATGAAGAAGGCGAGCGCCGCGATGACGACGAGCAGCGCGGCGGCCGCGGCGACAAGGCCGGTGCGGAGGCCTGGTGATACCTTGTCGGATGACCTGGCCGCGCACGAGCTCACGCCGGCGAGGTTCCCCGACGACGCCGCGCCCGTGCAGAGCGCGCGGTTGCCCAGGAAGCTTCGGTCGTAGGCGGGGACAGCGAGCGCCTCCGGGACCTCGCCGGCGAGGTCATTGAATGACAGGTTTAGCTGGTTCAGCCTTAGCGATCCCAGCGCTCGCGGGATGCTGCCGGAGAGTTGGTTGGACGAGAGGTCGAGCAGGGTGAGCACCGGCATGGAGCCCAACCCCGCCGGTATCTCGCCGGTGAGCTGGTTGTTGCTGAAGTTCATCTGCGTCAGGCCACCGAGCGACGCGATGCCCGCCGGGATCGCGCCCGACAGCTGGTTGGACGACAGGATGAACTCCTGCAGCAGCGGCATGCCGGCGGCGAGCCCCGCGGGTATCTCGCCGGAGAAGGAGTTGTTCCCGGCGTTGAACTTCTGCAGCTTAGCCGCCGACGACGGAAGGCTGCCTCTGAACTTGTTATTCATGATGTAGAGCCTCGTCATGTTCCAAAACAGCGTCTCTGGCAGGGCACCGGTGAGCCCTCCATTGTTCTGCAAAAGCAGAGTCATCAGCTTCGTCTCCGTCCAGAGCGCGGCCGGCACCTCGCCGGAAAGTTTGTTGTCTTGGAGCTGCAGGCTTATGAGCGCGGGGCACTTGGCGAGGCTGGCCGGGATCGATCCGTTCAGGCGGTTGCGGGCGGCGGAGATGATCCACAGCCCGCGGTTCTGGCAGACCCCCGCAGGTATCGGCCCGGAGAGGTCGTTGTCGTCGACCTGGATGTCTCTCAGCGACGGCGAGTGCATCCCGAGCTCCGCCGGAAGCGCTCCCGTGAGTTTGTTCTCGAACAACCACAGGAACACCAGCGACGGTAGCTGGGCGAGGCTCGCCGGTATCTCGCCGGAGAAGCCGTTGCCGCTCAAGCATAATTTGATGAGCTTCGTCAAGGTCCCGAGCCTTTCCGGGATCACTCCGGTCAGCTTGTTGTAGGACAGGTCGATCTCGATTAGACCCGCCGCTCCGATGGCGCCATCGATGGCGACATCACCAGCGAGCTTGTTATAGTGTAAGTACAACACCTGCAGCTTGGGGAGGTTCCAGATCGACGGTGGAATGTTCCCGGTGAACGCGTTCGTCGACAGGTCAAGCCACACCAACTCCGACATCCCCGGGAGGTAGCTCGGGAACTCGCCGGTGAGGTTGCATCCGGCTAGCCAGACAGTGGCCAGCCTCGTCAAGTTCTTGAACGACTCCGGCAGCTTGCCGGGGACGAACGGGTTGAGCTCGAGCTTGAGCGTCTGGAGGCCAGTCAGCTCCCCGAGCTCCGGCGGGATGGTGCCGGTGAGCTGGTTGGTGCCGAGAGCGAGGACCGTCAGGTTCTTGAGCTTGGACAGCGCGGGCGGCACCTCGCCGGTGAAGCCGTTGCCGTTCAGGGCCAGGTACGTGAGGTTCCCTCCAAGGCGGTTGATGTCGGCGGGGAGGTCGCCCGAGAGCGTGTTCATCGAGAGGTCGAGGTGCGTGAGGCCCGTGCAGTTGTAGAGGGACTTCGGGAAGCCGCCGCTGACGCTGGTGTTGCTGAGGTCGAGCGTGGCGAGGCTGGCGAGCCGGCCGATGGCGTCGGGGACGGGGCCGGAGACGGTGACGTTCGACAGGGCGAGGGAGGTCACCCGGCCGGCGCCGTCGCAGGAGACGTGGGCCCAGCCGGCGCAGGGCGAGCCCGTGGCCGCCGACCACGTCGCGAGCTCCGCCGGGTCGCCCCACGCGCGCTTGATCTCGAGCAGGAGCTGCCGCTCGTCCGCCTGCTGCGCCGCGGCGTGGCGCAGGAAGACGAGGCAGAGCGCGAGGAGTGGGAGATAGGCGCGGCGTGGCGACGCCATGGTCGCTGGTCGCTGGTTGGTTTCGGGCCGCCGGAGCACGGAAGCGTGCGTGCGTGCGTGCGTTCAGTTTGGTTGGCGGGAGCGGCCAGCCATCGCTGACCCCGGTGTGGAAACGTGTGGGCGCGTTATGTAGTGGGAACTGGCCGCGGCCGGTGTTTCTTTTCCCTTTTCTTTTTGTCCCTTTTAATTCCTTTTTCATTCTGATGTGTGTCATGTTGGATATTGTGTTTGTTGGGGTTGCGGGTGGTGCTTGCTTGGAAGCTTCAATCTTTTGTTTCCACTTGGTTGTTTAATTCGTGTTTGCTACATGTGTTGTTAGTGTGGGGTTTAGGCAGGGTCAAATTAGTTGGAATGAAGGGGACGCGTTCTAGATGGTTAGTATACCATGCGCCGCGATGACCATGCCGCCGGCCACCTCCGCCGATGCCTCTCTTTCCCCGCCCTACTCGGCGCTCCTTCTCCCTTCCCACCCCACGCCGCTGGCCAAACTTTTAGAATGGGCCGGCAGGTATCCATCTGTATTGAGCCTATGCACACATGCACCTCTGGCCTCCCCTTCCTTAACTGCTCCATACCCTGTGCCGCACCTCGTCAGTCGTCACCAGCCGAGCTCCTCCCCTGTCGTCGGTTGCCGCTCCCTCCTCAATGAAGCTGAGTGTCGCCTCCTGAGAGTACCACCGCGCCACTGCTACCGTACCAAGGATTTCTTTTTCTCACAAATTGATCGCTCCTCCCCTGTCGTCGGTTGCCGCTCCCTCCTCAATGAAGCTGAGTGTCGCCTCCTGAGAGTACCACCGCGCCACTGCTACCGTACCAAGGATTTCTTTTTCTCACAAATTGATCTTGTAGACGAGTTTAGTGTTGTATGCTGCATTTCTATGGTTCACATGTGAATCTTGACATGGATGATTTATATGTATGTGCATATGTGAATGTATGAATTGTGAATATGTGAAATCGACTATCATATGCGCATCAGTGCATGCATATGTCATTTTTGTTAGCGTATGTATATTGCATGTACCGTGTAACCTCCTTTGTATTTTGTATGGCTGAGTCTAGCCACGCCTGGCCTGCGTGTCACTATTGTAGGGGTGTTGGGCAGACTCTCTCTGTATTTATGTTGTAACCTGTAACTC